CTCCCTCTCGGCCCAGGCCTGGGCTTTGCTGTGGGCGTGGCCTGGGGAGCGGGCAGTCCGTGGCTCTGACCCTCCCTCTCGGCCCAGGCCTGGGCGTGGCAGTGGGCGTGGCCTGGGCGTGGCAGTCCGTGACTCTGACCCTCCCTCTCGGCCCAGGCCTGGGCGTGGCTGTGGGCGTGGCCTGGGGAGCGGGCAGTCCGTGGCTCTGACCCTCCCTCTTGGCCCAGGGGCGGCACCGGAGCGACACTACCATCAACAACAGGCCCTGCCAGATCCTAGTGGGGAAGAGGTGAGGCTGGGGCAGTGGTAGCGGGCAGGACGAGGGGTCCCCTGTGAGTGTCCAGACTTTCAATGCCCTGAAAATCCTGGCTGAGTCCAGTGGAGGACCCAGCACGGCATTTATTAGGCTCTGGCTATCCAGCAGGCCTGGACCCAGCCCTGTAACGGGGGCAAAGAGGCCAAGGGCTGGGTTCTTAACCCGTGAGGGGACGAGAGTTCAGCTGAGGGGGAGGACCAGGAAACGGGCCCATGGAGGTCACTGGCCAGGATGTGGAGCCATGAGGAGGAAGGAGGGACATCGGGGAGGCTTCCTGGAGAGATAGGGAGATGAGCGAGGCTGGAGGGGTGAGCAGGGGCCCAGGAGTGGGAACTCATCGCCCTCCCAGCCTGGCCATGACTCCACCCTGCCCCTTTGCTCCATTCGTCCATCCTTCTATCCACCATCTATCCCTCTGTCCATCCTCCCGTCCATCTTTCGTTCCACCCATCAATCCATCTATCCTTTCCTCCATCATCCATTCACCCATCCATCCACCATCCATTTGTCTGTCCATCCATTTATGATCCATTCATCCATCCATCACCTGTCCATCCAACCACCATGCTCCATCCCTTCTTCCATCACCCATCCACCCTCCATCCGTCTGTCTGTTAGTCTGTCCACCCATCCATCCATCATTAATCCATCCTTCTGTTCACCCATCTATCTATCTACCATCCGTCCATCAATCCATCCCTTACTCATCCATCCTTCTGTTCGTCCATCTCCTGATCTCCCATCCATTCATCCGTCTGTCCATCCATCATCTGTGCATCTACGCACCCGTCCTTCTCTCCATCTATCCATCTACCATCCGTCAATCTGTTATCCATCCATCAACCATCCATCTGTCCATCCTTCTGTTCACCATCCATCCATCAACTGTCCATCTCTCCATCCATACTTCATCTGTCCATCTATTCAGCCGTTCATTCGCTTATTCATCTGCCTCTCTTTCACCTGGGCTGGGCCAGGGTGGGTCAGTGAGGGGCTTCTCTCACGCCTGCTGCACCCCACCCCTTAGCTTCCTGTGGAGGAAATGGAAGGACCTGTGTGTGGGAGATGTGGTCCGCCTGCACAAGGACAGCATTGTCCCGGTGAGTCTGGGGCCCCCCGCCCAGGAGGGCTGCCTCTCCTCCCAGCTCGCCCGCCCTGCGATGGTGGGTCCTGGTTTCCTCCAACCTTCCCCTGCTCGCAGGCTGACCTGCTGCTGCTTGCCAGCTCTGAGCCCAGCAGCCTGTGCTACGTGGAGACAGCCGACATCGACGGGTAAGAGGCCTGGGGGCTGGGGGGCCTGGGGGCTTGGGCAGCAGACCCCAAGCAGTCCCCCTCCCTGGTTCCCGAGGAGGAGCTTGCCCAGCCAGCTCCGATATTTTGGTCATTCACCCCACAAGCATTTGTGGGGACCTGCAAAGCACAGAGGTGCCAGGTGGAGGAAACACATAAGTGCTCAGCCACTCACTGAAATACTGAATGTTTGAGCCGCCAGAGGGGCCTTAGAAGAAAGGTCGGGCAATCTGCTTTGGAGAAATCAGGCCTTGAAAGGACCTTCGGATGCTTGGTCCTGAAAGGACTTCCTTTGGGTGCTCGGTTCCACTCTGACACACAGGGTCATGGGAAGTTGGGGTCCACTCAGTGGAAACTGGCTTGGGATTTGTTTGCAAGATACTGGGTGTTTTTCCAGCCAGCAGTGGGGGGCGGGCAATCGCAGTGTCCATCATCATCACATGAACGGATAAGCCCAGTGTGGTCCTTGCACACAACAGTGTGGAACATCTCCTCAGCCTTGTCGAAGAATGACGTTCTGACAGGTGCTGCCATGTGGGTGGGTGGACCTGGAGAACACGAGGCCCAGTGAGAGGCCACCCAAAATGCCACACAGTGTCTGACCCCACTGACATGCGGCAGAGCCACAGAGACAGAGCAGGGGTCAGGGGTTGCTGAGGTGGGGGAGGGGCGGTGAGCGACTGCTGGTGGGCGTGGGGCTGCTTTAGGGGGATGAGCAAGCCTTGGAAACAGAAGGTGGTGACGGTCACACACCATGGGACGGTGTATCATGCCACTGAGTTGTGCACCTTCTGTGCATGGACATGTCTGGGGGCCCGCGTGCAGCAGGCCTTGCCGCCCAAAGCCAGAAGGTCTGGGCTGGCCCAGCTCTCTCCCCGCTGGGCCTCAGCCTCCTGACTGGAGACTGGCACGTAGTAGGTGCTCGGTGAATGTGTTGCTGGAGTGTTATCAGTTGCCAGCTCCATCTCCCCCCACTCCTCATCCCCAGAGAGACCAACCTGAAGTTCAGGCAGGCGCTGGCCGCCACCCACCATGAGCTGAACAATGTAAGGAAAATGGCGACCTTTCAAGGTGAGCAGCCACCCCCCCCACCCTCCGCAACCTCTGTGGAGGTCCCCCACTTGGAGGTTTGGGCTGCTAACCTAAGGACTGGTGGCTCACACCCACCCGCAGTGCTGCGGAAGGGCCTGGAGGTACGCCTCCTTAAAGATGACAGCCAAAGAAGACTTGGCAGCAGTTTTCTCCGCAACATGGTTGGGGGCGGAGCTTGAGTCAGGGCCCAACTCCATGGCAGTCAACATAACAACAGTGGGGTTGAAGGCTGCACGTGGGCTGCAGCCCCACCAGGCACACAGTTGGAGTTCAATAAATGTCCATTCTCCAGTTCATTCACCAACTCTTGGGAGTCCCTCCCTCTCTCCTCACATATTTATTGAGCACCGACTATGTGCCAGGTGCCAGGCTGGGCCCCAGTGTCACAGCGTGCTAGGTTGGGAGTGTGGGGGCCCAATCTGGTTGGAAGACCTAGGAGGGCTTCCTGGAGGAGATGTGAGTCCAGGAAAAGCCTTCCTGGCAGAGGGAACGGCATGCACAAAGGCCCTGAGGCTGAAGGGCATAGCTTTGGAGACTCCCAGAGGAAGCCTCGTGGTGGGGTTGGAGGGGTGAGCAGGGGGCAGTGCCAGCGCCAGAGCGAGCCCCTCAGATGGAGGTGGGTGGCAGGGTCCCCGGCAGAGGCCCGCTGACCGGCTGGTCCCCCCAGGCAAGGTGGTGTGTGAGAAGCCCAACAGCCGGATGCACAACTTTGTGGGGTGCCTGGAGTGGAAAGGCAAGAAGCACCCGCTCGACTTCGGCAACATCCTCCTGCGAGGCTGCAAGATCCGGAACACGGACACCTGCTACGGGCTGGTCATCTACGCCGGTACCGGGGCCCCGGGGTGTGGGCTGCCCGGCTCGGGAGGTGCCATTGACGAGAAGCCACGAAGCCCGGCCCGTGCGGCTCCTGGCTTGGCTTCTCTGGGCCCCGATCTCTGAAACTGTACAAAGGGACCCATTGAGCCAGCACCCTTGTTTTGGCTGGAAAAAGTGGGGTGCTTACATGGATGGACAGATGGTGGACAGGTGGGCGGGCCTGTAGGTGGGTGGATCTCTGTGAGTGTGAAGAATAGGGGTCTGCCTTTAGATTAAATGGCAGAAGACCCCTCCCACCCTGCTCCAGGCCCTCGTCTCCTTCATGAAGGCGGGGAGTGCTCCACCAGGCAGTTTCCGGTCATGTAGACAGAAGGCTAGAGCAGCGGGGAAAGAAAGAAAGAGAAGTGGAAGACCAGCCAGGTTCCCAGGGGAAGGCTGCCCCCGCCCAGACCACACCCAACGGCCCCGGGCTCGCCACCATGACCAGCAGCCCCTGCCTGGCCTGGCCCTGCAGGTTTTGACACAAAGATCATGAAGAACTGTGGCAAGATTCACCTGAAGAGAACCAAGCTGGACTACCTGATGAACAGGCTGGTGGTCCTGGTGAGCCGGGGCGGGCAGGGAGGGCCGGGGCCAGGGTCGCGCCCCAAGCAGCAGCCCCGCCGCGTCCCCCAGGGTCCCCGTTCCCTCTGCAGTCTCAGCCTAACCTTCTGACAGGTCCGTGGACTCGGGACCCTGCTCTTAAACAATAACCATAAAAAACATATTGTTTTTATAAAACAAATTTTGATCTTGACGTTTCCACAACCTGCAGAAAATACCACATACCCTCCACGGAACTTTAACAATCCTTAGGCGGCGGCCTTGGAAACCCAAGGAGGGCTCACTATGAGTCGGGTCCAACTTGATGGCACATAACAACAACAGCAGGCGGCGGTGGTGGGGCGGTGTTAGAGCTCTTGTCTCCCACTTGTGAAACCCGGGTTTGCTTCCTGGCCAGCGCACCCCATGCAGCCACCACCTGTCTGGGAGTGGGGGCTCGTGTCAGCTAGGAGCTCGCTGTTGAGCGGTGCATTGAGACTAAGAAGGACCAGGAAGAAAGGGCTGGCGATCTGTTTTCCAAACTAAGCCGAGGAAAACCCCATGGATCCCAGTGGTTCAGTTCAGAACGGATCACAGAGGTGGCACAGGACCAGACAGCGTGAGCTCTGGGGTGCTAGGGTCACCACCAGCAGCTAACCGCATCTTTGCCCAATCAGCTAGTTCAGTGACTGGAATAGAAAATATATAGGCCACAAAGCCTGGCCGAGGCCCTGGAAGTCCCGCTCCTCCTGGCATTCCTGTTCCCCTCCCCAGCCCCGCATCTTCATGCTGGAGGTTGCGGGGCAGGGAGACTTCCTGTCTTCTCCAGCCCACACTGGTACACCCCTGGGGTGTCCACGTGGCCCCTCAGCCCCGCCCTCTCCTGCCCCCCGCAGATCTTCCTGTTCCTGGTGCTCATCTCCATAGCCTTGACCCTGGGCTTCAAGTACCAGGCGGGGGAGTTCAAGAGCAAGCACTACTATGTCTCGTCCAGCTACAAATACAGCAGCAGCATGGAGGCCTTCTTCACCTTCTGGGGTTTCCTCATCCTGCTGAGTGTCATGGTGCCCATGGCCATGTTTATCATGTGAGTGCCTGCCTCCCGCCTGCACCCAGTGCTCACAGGGAACGTGAGGCCCACGGGGCTGCCAGGGAGCACAGTGAGTTCAGCCGCTCACGGAACGGTTGCTGACTCAGGTTCACACAGACATGCCTGAAAAGAAAGGCCTGGCCGTCTCTGTCCAGGAAGTTGGCCACCAGACACCTGATGGACAACAGTTCTACTCTGACCCGTGCGGGGCCACCATGAGTCGGGGTCACCTCGACAGCAGCTGGTTTGGTGGATGGAAAGTGGGGGAGGCCGCAGGCAGGACCAGCTCGGGCCGGAGTGACCGGATGTGCTTCACAGGGCCGAGTTCATCTACCTGGGCAACAGCATCTTCATCAACTGGGACACGCAGATGTACTACGCGCCGCTGGACACGCCCGCCAAGGCCCGCAGCACCAGCCTCAACGACCACCTGGGCCAGGTGGAGTACATCTTCTCGGACAAGACGGGCACACTCACCCAGAACATCATGACCTTCAAGAAGTGCTGCATCAACGGCCGCGTCTACGGTGCGCGCCCCCCCTCCCCACCGGGACCCAGCCCGGGGCCCCTGCCCTCGGGGATCTCGGCTGGCCAGCTGGCCGCCCAGCAGAACGTGTTGCTGCTGCTGTTAGTTGGCGTCGAGTTGGTTCCAGCCCGTAGCGACCCCTTGCAACAGAGCCAAGCTGCCTCAGAGGCCTTTCTCACCTGTGCAGATGGTCCCTGGGTTACGAACCAGCTCCCTCCGAAGGCCTGTCAGTAGGTCAGACCTGTACGTGAGTGGGAACATGAGGAGGGCTTGTATCTGACGTAAGTTAGTCAAATGTCTGCCTCACTATATAATGGTGCACCTTTCTGTGCATAAAACCATTAAGAAGCACTTGCAGATAGATGCAAACACCTTTAATGTAACAATACAGCATTCATAATGATAACATTTTAACCTTGCACGTAGCAAGGTAGCACCCATTTGTTATACAAACCATTGTCTGTACCTCGAGTTTTTAATATAATAGGCTTTATGGGGCTTGGTTCCTAACAAGTTGTGCGTAACTCAGAAGTAACCTAGTACTGCCCATAATCTTTATGGAGGAGTCCTGGTGGCGCAGTGGTTCAGTGCTCAGCTGCTATCTGAAAGGTCGGCAATTTGAACCCACCCAGCGGCTACTCAGGAAAGGCCTGGCGACCTCCTCCCATAAAGATTACAGCCTAGAAAACCCTGTGAGGCCGTTCTCTGTCCTTCAGGGTCACCATGAGTCGGAATTGACTCAACGGCACCCAACAAGAAGAAGCTTTACAGGAGTATAGCCACCAGCCAGGTTAGAACCGCCAACCATTTGGTTAGCAGCCTGTTACACACCAGTTTGCACCACCCAGGGGCCTCACAAAGGGCCAGAGTCAACATTCCTGGTACCACAACCACCCAGCTGCGCAGTGGTCGCTTGGAAGCAGCCACAGACAATATGTAAATGAACGTTCTGGCAGGCCCCGGTCCGTTCAGCATTCTTTGCCAGCACCACAGCTCAAAAGCATCAACTCTTCTTTGGTCCTCCTTATTCACTGTCCAAAGCTCTCACATGCACATGAGGCAATGGAAAATACCATGGCTTGGGTTAGGCGCACCTTAGTCTTCAAAGAGACGTCTTTGCTCTTCAGCACTTGAAAGAGGTCTTTTGCAGCAGATTTGCCCAGTGCAATAGGACGTCTGATTTCTTGACTGCTGCTGGAATGGGTGCTGATTGTGGATCCAAGTAAAATGAAATCCCTGACAACTTCAGTCTTTTTTCCCTTTATCGTGATGCTGCTCATTGGTCCGGTGGGGAGGATTTTCATTTTCTTTATGTTGAGGTGTAACCCATGCTGCAGACTGTAGTCTTTGATCTTCATCAGTAAGGCCTGCAAGTCCTCTTGGCTTTCAACCAGAATTAAAGAAGACAAGCTAGGAAACTTGTGAGGCAGCTTCACTCCATCACGTGGGGCTGCTGTGAGGCAGAATTGCACCCAATGACAACTAAGTATCTGTTTACACTTAAAAAAAAAGTTACACATAAGTTAAAGAAAAAGTTGAGTAGTACAGAAAGATAGAAAACAAAAAAAAAAGTAAAGGCCTCACCATCTTTAATAAATAAATAAATAACAGCTATTTCAGCTTTTATATAGTGTATGTCGTCTCCTGTGGCATCCTTGGGCATCTATTTCTGTACAGATACTGCCTGGGAAACCCAAGGAGGTGTCAGTAAGAGTTGGATTTGACTCGACGGCAGCGGGTTTGGTTTGGTTTATGGCACAGTGGTTAAAGCATTCACCTGCTAACCAGAAGGTTGGTGGTTCAAACCCAATAGCTGCTCCAGGGAAGAAAGATGAGGCAGTCTGCATCCATGAAGAATGACATCCTTGGAAACCCTGTAGGGCAGTTCCATTCTGTCCTCTAGAAGATTGACAGCCTTGGAAACCCTCTGGTGCAGTTTCACTCTGTCCTCTAGGGGCGCTGTGAGTTGGAACCAACAACTCCCAATTTTTAAAAGTAGGCGGCCAAGTCCGGGTTTTCAAAGGGCCCCATAGGAGAGTCAAAGAAAACGTGTCCCACACTGCCATGTCCCGCTCTGGGTGCCCGTTGTGGACACTTGGGGGATGTGGCCACATCACTTTCCCCTTTGTGCAGGAGGCTGGAGGGCTCCTTCCTTATAAGGAAGGACAGCCATGTCCAGTGACCCTGGGCAGCCTGCAATGGGGGGCAGGGGCTATGAGGTCCCCAAGGTGGTCTCGGGGAGTTGAGTCTGAAGCAGTGTCTCTCCCCAGGGCCAGAAGACGACCTGACGCTGCGTAAAGTGAGCCCCGCCCTGCTGCCCCGAGTGTGTGTGGGAGGCCCCCAGGGCAACCCTGCCAGAGCCTGCCTGTCCTCACCTGTCCCCCCAGGACAGCCCCTACCAGTGGAACGAGTTTGCGGACGGGAAGCTTCTGTACCACAACTCGGAGCTGCTGGCCACCGTGCGTGCCGGCGAGGACACGGTGGTGCGCGAGTTCTGGCGGCTGTTGGCCTTGTGCCACACCGTCATGGTGCAGGAGAAGAACAGTGAGTGCCACCCCCACCACCGGGGCTCCTCTTACTAGGGCTGAGAGGATGCCGAGGGCCCCTGCAGTGCAGAAGGTGAACACACTCAGCTGCTCCCTGAAAGGCCGCTGGTTTGAGTCCACTCCGAGGTGCCTCGGAAGAAAGGCCTGGTGATCTGCGTCTGAAAAATCAGACATTGCAACCCTGGAGCCCAGTTCTCCTGAGACACATGGGTCGCCATGAGCGGGAGTGGATAGCAACAGGTTTCCTGCTTTCCAGGCTGCTCCGGCCCCTGTCCCAAGCCCCGCCTTCTCTCCCCGAGCTCAGAGAGTGTCCAGGCCTAGAGCCGAGAAGGTAGCGGAGGTGTGTGAGGGTCAGGCTTAAAGCGCGTCCATGTGCCCCGCCACACCCGCGGGTCTGTCACTAAGCTTGGAGGGTGTTTAGATTGGGGCCTATCTTAGTTACCTAAGGAGCTCTGGTAGCTTAGTGCGTGAGGCATCTGGCTGCAGCAGGTCAGTGGTTCAAACCCACCAGCTGCTCTGTGGAAGGAAGATGAGGCAATCTACTTCCACGCAGATTTACAGCCCTGGAACTCATGGGGCTCACTGTTAGCCACAATCGACTCAAGGGCAGTGGTCGGATTCTGAGTTACCTAGAGCTGCCGTGACAACAAGAAAACCTGCAAGTGGTGGCCTTAAACAGCAGGAGCTTAAGGGGTCTCACAGTTCAGGGGGCTGGCCTCCAGCTTGAAGGCAAGACCCGTCCTTGTCAGTAGTTCCTGCCATTCCTTGTGTCCTCCTTCCCTTGGCATCTAGGCTCCGCTCCACAGGGAGCAGGTTAGTCCCTCTCTACTCAGCGTGGCCTCACTAACATAACCAAGGAATGCTCCTGCTCCCAACCAGGGTTAATAATCTCAGTTGCAGGGGCGACAGGACTTCCACAAAACTTTGTTGGGACATAATTAAATACACAACAGGTGCCAGGTGCCCCATTCTTTCATGGGGCTCAGACGTCGCCCGGGCTCGGGACACCACCGGGGCTTCACTGTTTGCTGAGCCTGTGTGGGCAGCTAGCTCTCGGTGACGGCGCCCCTCTGGTCCCCTCCCTCCCGCTGGCTCCAGACCAGCTTCTGTATCAGGCAGCTTCCCCCGACGAGGAGGCGCTGGTCACGGCCGCCCGGAACTTCGGCTACGTGTTCCTGTCGCGCACGCAGGACACCATCACGCTGACGGAGCTGGGGCAGGAGCGCGTCTACGAGGTGCTGGCGATGATGGACTTCAACAGCGACCGCAAGCGGATGTCGGTGCTGGGTGAGGCTCCGCCCCTGCGGGGCCCGGACCCCGGAGCCCCGCCCGGCGTGCAGGGGGCGGGGGCGGGGGGGCCGCGCCCAGCCAGCTGGGCCTCTCCTTGCCTCCCCCCACAGTCCGCAACCCCGAGGGCACCATCTGCCTGTACACCAAGGGCGCGGACATGGTCATCTTAGAACGGCTGTCCAAGAAGGACTTGACTGAGACCGCCACGGAGCAGGCCTTGGCAGTGAGTCCCTGCGGCGGCCGCGGACGGTTGGGCAGGTTGTGTAGTGTGCAAACACCGCCCTTCCCGCACACGCACGAGGCTGGGAGGGGCCCGCATTCCAAGCTGCCCGCGTCCACAGGGGGCGACTTATCCTAATTCACACAAGGACGTTTTAGCCCTACACACTGCTCCCCTAGCCTTGGTGGCGCAACAGTTAAGCGCTCGGCTGCTCGGGAAGGAAAAGATTGGTGGTTGGAACGCACCCATCATTTCCACTGGAGAAAGGGCTGGCTATCTGCTCCCATAAAGATGACAGGTTAGGAAAGCCCGTGGGCAGGTCCACTCTGTGCCATGGTGTCACTAAGTAGGAACCGACTTGACACGGGACAGCAGCTGTTTCCCTAACACGCCCCATGGCCTGGGTTCCAGATGCACTGAGCCTCACCCCCACCCCCCAAAATCGTTGCTCTGTGTGCTGAAGCCAATGTCCTGAGCGCATCCTGCCTCTTGGGCCCCCGAGCAAGAGGCAGGTCTGGGGCCGTCTGTTGACGTAGGAAGGTGGGGGAGGCCAGGATTAGTTGGGGGACACCTTCCTGGGCCCACAACAGAGACAGAGAGCCAGTGGGCTCCTTCCTATCCTGCACCCCCGCCAGCCCTTGGGGGAGGCAGAGGCAGCACAGCGACTCCCTGCCCTGGGGGCAGAGGGAAGGCCCAGGGCTGAGGACCTGGAGCCTTGCCTGAGGAAGCGTTGGAGAGGCTGTAGGGGTCCCCAAGTGGGTTCTGAGGAACAGTGAAGAGGCGTAAAGCAATTGCCCCTGGAGACTGCAAGGACGTAAAAGCACAGAGGCCTCAGTGTCACGGGGGGGCCATGGCCCCCTCTGGCTGCTGCAAGAAGGACAGACTGTTGAAGAGAGCATTTGGTGTACCCAGGAAGCAGGGCCAGGGGCAGGGGGCAGGGCTGGGGCTAGAAGGCGGGGCCGTGGTCGGTGGCGGGGTGCGAGGGGCTGCGACAAGGGGGCGGGGCTTGGACTAAGAGGTGGGGCTTGACCTGGGGCGGGGCTGTGATCGTGGGCGGGGCTAGGGTTAAGAGGCGGGGCTGTGGTCAGGGGACTGGGCTGGAGGTAGGAGGCTGGGGCGCGGCCAGGGGGCGGGGTAGAGAGAAAGCAGCCGTTCTGGGGGTGCGGGCAGTGATGCGTCTACTACCCTGGCCCAGAGCTTTGCGGAAGAGACCTTGCGGACCCTGTGTCTGGCCTACAAGGAGGTGAGCACGGACGCATACGAGGCGTGGAGCCAGCGGCACCAGGAGGCCAGCGTCCTGCTGCAGAACAGGGAGCAGGCGCTGCACCGCGTGTACGAGGAGATGGAGCAGAACCTCCAGGTGGGGCGGCTGGGCGAGGCCGCGGGCGGGGTCGGGCCC